TGTGTGTGTGTGTGTGTGTGTGTGTGTGGGCAGACACAGGAATGGTGCTTCACACTTGGACAAATGTGATAAAAATATTCCCTCTCAGACTTCCCCATTCTTTTTCTATTTTTGTCTGACATTGTAGAAAAAGGCATTTTCTGTGTATGTGCAAGATAAATATATTTCCAGGACTGAAGCTCTCAATAAGTAAATGTATTGATGCTGCACCTCACTTTCAGATTTTCTTCCTTCCCCTTATTTTTCTGTATAGTCAGTATGAGAAGTTTATAACTTCTATAGAATGAGTAGAATAAGCGCAGTAATAACCAGAGTTTTCATGGAGGTAAGGTTATTTTTTGTTGCTTGTGCTGAGAGATTCTTAATTGTAACAGTGGAACAATGTTGGTTGTCAGAGAACAGAATTTCTCTTTCTGAATTGTGTTTCTCCTCAACTGTTGGCCTTTACGTTGTGGAAATAAGCCGAGGAAATGTCACCTTCATGGGGGGTGTAAGTATTGGCCAATGGAGCGAAATCAATGTGGGTATTAGACAGAGGGCAGTTGTAGAACAAATAATATAATTACGTATATAGAACAATTTCTCCCCTGTAGTCTCCACACAGCCTTCTAAAATTAGCCATAAATCCTTGACAATTATCTTTCATTTACTGAATTTGAATTAAAGTCTTTTCACTGCTAATGTGCAAATTGTAAAAGATCAGGTCAGTCAAACTTTGTCCTGTGTGATCTGAGAAACTGAAGATGGATCCCATAGGATGAAGTTACAGAAATAATCACATCCACAGTCTGAGAAAATCATTGTTTGCTGGTTATGTAATAAGCATAATGTACTTGTACTGAAATGTACAATATATATGCACCAGATCTGTGACTTGAGATCATGAATTCTTACCCTAATGTGGCTTAATTACGTAATTAATATTAATTTAAAAGGGAAACCAAGTGGCTCGTATATTGTTACTTTATTGAAAAGTTGCACAAGTGTTGTACAAAGTGAAGTGGGTTTGACAGAGGGTTGAACTTCACTCAAACAAACCTGAGGCTTATTTCTCACCAAACAAAAAACAGACAAGCTTCATTTTTAGTTCAACTTTTGACATTTTTACCTCTTGAAACAAAACTGAAGATGATGGAAGTTTAACCCCAGATAAATTCCCTGTTTTAGCTTCTCTGAATAAACTGTTAGACAAGTCAAATAACATAAACCCAAAATAGACTGATCTGAGGTGTGGAGGTGTAGTTCTCTCTAAATATTACTGTCAGATCATATTACAGAGAGCGTATGTAAACCCACTGTGTGTAGCTCTGTTTTCGTCTGTGTTCATGTGTTCGGTATTTAGCGGGATTATGCAAAAAACCACTCAGCTGATTTCCATGAAATGGTGAGGAGGGGTGCGCTTGGTGCGGATCCAGCATTTCTTTTTTCACTTTCTTCAACTTCTCCTTGATTTCTCATAAAAACAATTCATGGATCTTGATAAAAGAAATCCAACAACTGATGTTTATGTGTGAGTGATATGTTTGTGCAGATCAAAATAAAAATCAGGATCTAGTGAATTTGAATGTGGTTTCATAAGGGGACTGTATGCACTCCATGTTTTACAGCTGGAGACAAACAAAAGTAAGGTGTTATCTTCCTAGCAGACACATGGACGATAACATCAGTTCAAAATCTTATTAATATAGTATTTAATTCTCATTAGGGACAAATGGATGAGGTTTCCAGAACTTGAACTAGAGGGTTAACCAAATTCTAAAAAGGAAAATGCTACAAAATAAGAATATTACTGAAATAGGTGAGAAGGAATGATTGTTGGTGCACTGGTGACACTGAGGAAGCAGTTGTTTCCAGGTTTTAAATGATGAAATGGAATGTCATCAGGTGGGTTTCTCAGTAGGTGTGAGTAAGCAGGATTGCTTGTCTCATTCCCTGTGATGTTCTCGCAGCCTACTCAGTGTACATTTCGGCCCAGTGCATGCTGGGATTGGCTTCTGCCTCCGCTGCTAGAGATTGTACATACATTTAATGGAAATGTGCTGTATGATTCAAAGGCTTCACATGTCTCGCAGCACAATAATATCCTCGGGATAAATTGGTTTTCTGAACACATTGATTTGAAAAGCCCTTTTAAAAATACATGTATTTACATATTGTTGTGGTGTTGATTCTCCTGGATTAAAAAAATCCAAGAATTGCATCCATAGCAACAAGACAGATGCAGGTTGGTTCTTTAAAACAGGCAGATAGCTCGGGCACGTATATAAATCAACATAGTGCAAAGCATCTCAATAAAATATGAGGCACAAGGCATGAATACAAAATAAAAGCAAATCTTAAATGATGTTCAGCCCTGACATAAAACCAAAGGACATTTTACAGATTGAATAAAAACCATATTAGACTCTTGTCGTGAAAAGGTTTAAAGTTCTGCAGAAAGTCCATTAACTGACTGAAAGGTCATCCACGCCTCCATTTCTTCCAGGCTCAACTATTGCATTGCACTTAATTCTGGTATCAGTGAGCGAAACATTAAACGAGTTTTAGATTTTACTGGTTGTTTTCAAAGCCTTGCTTCAGTCTATATATGTCATTTGCTAACTATCTTTGAGTCTGAACGCTGCCGACAGGGCCCCACTAACGGTTCCAAAATCTCAACTGATCATTAAAGGGGACCAGGCCTCTGCTCTCTGGGCCCCACAACCTTTCCTCACCTGGAGGTCTCAGTATCTTCTCTCATTAAGACTTACTTTTATTCCCTGGCCTATTTCTAACTTTTGGTATATGCCTTTAATTTTAAATGATCTTATCTTGCTTATTATGTTAAAAATCTAAATTTGGATCTGTTTTATTGAAAGGTGCTATATAAATAAAGTAGCTATTATTAGTTCAGCACAAGAAATGAACAATAAAGACTAAGTAATGCTGATGTCAATACAACATTTTAATCATTTGTGATCTTTTTATCTGTTACACACCAAGTTCTGATTTGTCATTTCAACCTTACACCAAATGAATCATTTGTTTTTTGGATTATTTACTCTGAGGAATGTAGCTTGAGAATTATTTATCTATGTATCAAGAACTCACAGCATTTACAGCAAGGATGGCGAGGATTTGAAATTTACGGCAGGCATTATGGACTAATTCATCTTTTTTTAATTCACTTCCATGTCAGTTTTCATCTTTGACACTTCCTCCTGCAGAGGCAGACTGCTCTGTCACAGCATCTGTTCACCACCTCTTTATTGTTGCCCTAAGCAGAGTATCTCGGTGCACTCGGCAATTTGCAACCTTGACAAGCTCTACAAAGCATCACTTGTTCTTGAGTTCTGCCATTCACCACTTGAGTTGTAGTCACTCAACCAAACCTCACACAACTTTTCTTTCTTTCTTTGTCTGAAGCTTTCTTCTGCAGTTTCGTTCAACTGCTCCGTTTCCTATGAGCTTCTCTAACTTTATACATTACAATTAGGTCTAAATAAATTCACAAGTCACTGTGTGTGTGTGACTATCGGCGGCCGTGCTGAAACCCGCCGTCTGATTCCTCTCTCTGTTGTGTACCGGCCTTGTCTGACCTCTGCGCCACAGCAAACTTTGAAGAAACTTTATTGCTCCTCGTCTGTTCAGGGGATGATGCCACCTTGCTGCGGACCAACCTCTCCTCTCATCTGCAGTCCACAAACACTTTCTCCAGGCGTCCACACCACAGCCACAGTAATTATCATCAGAGCTGGGCTTCAGTTATTGCTGTTTTGTTGCATCAGGATCTGTGTTTGTGTGTGTGTGTGTGTGTGTGTGTGTGTGTGTGTGTGTGTGTGTGTGTGAGAAAGAGAGAGTATGGACATGCTGTTTTTGAATTAGTTGTTTAAGTTGGTTTGTGATAAGGAAGAAGTCTGAGGATTTTAGAGGGAGGAGTCTAAGAACAGAACCAT